CCAATCTTCTCCTGTTAAAAAAAAAAAAAAGCAAAAGAAAGAAAGCAACTTAAGCCACATCATTGGTAGAAAACAAAGATTCAAGGACTTCCACGCGTGAAGGGCTGAACAAGTCGTCTCGAAGAGGGGCCTCAGTCCCAGTCCTCAGAACACAAGCCAGAGCTTTTCCAAGTTGAAGGTTTCTGTCTCTTAGGAAAAGAGTCTCAGCTGATTAGTTCAGGCAGCTGAAAGACACCTACTTCAACTCCAAACATAACTTTTCCAGTGATAATCACATGGCCCATCTAGAAAGCCACCAGCAAGTACAAGCTGGGCTGGGCTAGAGAAATCCCAACTGAACACCTGCCCGCTTTGCTAAGGTTCAGCTAATCCAGCCTTGACTCTGACACCCTTCTAGAAAAGGTGGGAAGATGCTCTTCCCAGAAAACATCTGGGATCACTGAGGTTCAGAAAAACGTCTGCTCTGGCCAGGGAACGATCCAAACAAAGGCTGCATAACAGGAGAAATGTACTGCTCATACTATACAAAACTCTTTGTTCCTCTCTCTTATTTCACACAGAAACCCCCACAGTTGGACCACCTTCTTCCCCATTTTAATCTACGCCAACCACACCCGCCACTCCCTGCCGTCCAAACTCACATCACAGACTGTAGCCTGCATGATGGCATCAAAGCCACCCTCTGGGGCATCTCGGTTCCGCGACACACTCTGCTTCTTCACTTCCTCATTGAAGCGGGTCACCTGGTCAGTTAGTGTCAGCACATGTTTGTAGCCAAACATAGGCAAGCAGGTGTTCTTCATACTGGTGGAGGGAGGGAGATAATTGAAGCAGAAACCCTAACTGGAAAAGGCTGCATGAGGAGTAAGAGGGAGAAAGGGGGAGACAAGCATGGGTAGCACAAGGCCCAGGCCGATTCCATACAACCGCCGCTACCCAGACTGTTCAGACTCCAAACCCCTCTAATGACCCAAGTCATCATGGTGGCTTTGCCTCCAGCTGGCCTCCAAGATAAGATAGTGAGCTGTGGAACCAGTCTGCCTGGGTTCAAGTCCCAGCTCCTCCACTTACTAGCCATGAGACTGTCATATGATAGGCCAAAATGAGAGGGTCAAAATGATAGGTCATATCTCCTAAGAGTTATTGTGAGGCTTCCATGAGTTGACTCATGGAAAGCGCTTATATCAGAGTGAGGCTCCAGTTGTCACCATCACCTTGGACTTAACACCTCTCCAAGGTAACACTGACAAAACAATAAAGCAAAAGCTCATCAACAACTTCATATCCGTGAACCACCAACAAATTGATAGATCTGCACCAGACTAACCCAACCAACAGTTTAACTGATGGCTGACATCTTTACTGGGGAACTTAACAACCCAGACAGAAAGTCAAAAGGGTACCTCGTATAACTCTGAAAATGAAAAGGTAAATTCATCCATTGTCTGGCTCAGTAACCATCCTTTGAAATGATTACACTCCATGGATGTTCAGAGTCTTTACCAATTAAATAAGCCATTCAGTTATAAGCCAAAGTGTCAACAGAAACACACATATCAATTTTCAGACTATTAGAGAGTTCAGTAAATATCATTTCCACTCTTTTTATATTCCTCCAGGACTTAATCCCCCTTGCATTTTAACTCTGTAGTACTCATAACCTTGATGATGAGGAGACAATGGAATCAATCCTTCGAAAATTATAATTCCTCTATTTATTCATCCATAAATTTCTCTCTACTTTTTATCTCCTTTCCCTCTCGTTTTCTCTTGTCTCCTACTTCTTTATAACAAGACCAAGAAGCTGATGAGTTTTCTTTCTGGAAATTCTCCACCCTTTCTTTTTTTTTTTTTAATTTTTTTTTAATGTTTTATTTTTGAGAGAGAGAGACAGACAGACAGAGTGCAAGCCGGGGAGGGGCAGAGAGAGAGGGAGACACAGAATCCATAGCAGGCTTCAGGCCCTGAGCTGTCAGCACAGAGCCCAACGCAGGGCTCGAACCCACGAACTGTGAGATCATGACCTGAGCCAAAGTCGGACACTCAACCGACTGAGCCACCCAGGCGCCCTAATTCTCCACCCTTTCTAAATGCCCATCTGTCTAATCCTCTTCCCAAGAGTCACAAAGATTTTGGCAGTTGCTACACTCCAAACAGCCTTGGATTCTACTGCCACAATGCTCCAGATCAACAGGCCAGCTCACTTGCCAGACAGGAAGACCAAGGTAGAAAAGAGACAGGATTTGGCCAGACGGCAGCCAACGAATCTACCCCAGAGCTAGAAACTGGCAACAGGACTTGCACCTGCCTGAGACAAAGGCAAGTGATGCTGCCCTGGCTTCTCGAAGAGGGACTTACTCATAGCAGGGGTTTTTGAGGGCCTCTGGAGGGGAGATGTACATGTATGGTGACACAGGCTTGTCCACAAAAGCCCCAAAGCCAATCCGCAAGTTACTGGTGAGCTTGCGCATCTGGGAGGCCAGCTTGGTGCCCAGGTTCTGGATGCTCCACAGATCATCCTTCATGGAGTAAGACAGGTCCATCAAGTAGTAGATGTCCACAGGGTAATCCTCCACCTGCCGGACTCGGACGGAGAAAATCTTCGAATCATCTGGAAGGCAAGAGGATGTTTGTTTTTCTCCTTTTCCCCCTCCAAGACTTAATAAGTGGATTGGACACAGTTGGGATTGAGTAACTTCTTGATCAAACCAGACTGGAAAGCCCTGGTCCTTTCTCTTCTCCCCCTAATTCTATTCCTCTTACAATTCTTTATCCTTTTATTTTATTTTATTTATTTATTTATTTATTTATTTATTTATTTATTTATTTATTTAGAGAATGAGCAGGGGAGGGGCAGAGGGAGAGAGAAAGAGAGAGAGAGCGAGCGAGAGAGAGAGACCCAAGCAGGCTCCATGTTTCACGCTGAGCCAGACACGGGGCTTGATCCCACAACCGTGAGATCATGAGCTGTGCCAAAATCAAGAGTGGGATCCTTAACCAACTGAGCCACCCAGGCACCCCAATCCTCTTATTTTAACCTCTTTTTTTTTTTTCCACCTAAAATTCTCCACCCTTTCTAAATGCCCATTTGTCTAACCCTCTAGGTCCCAAGGGTCACAGAGGTTCTGGCAGTCACAACACTTTCAACTCTGTAAAAGGCACAAACTATGTCCCACCCTCCTCCGAACCCCCTAGCACCTAACACATGCCTTGCATGAAGAGGGTACTTGGTAAAATTCTTCCTGATGTAATTGGAGAGTCTAAATCAATGCTTCAAAAAGCCTGTCTCAGCCTAATCCTTGTCCCCCGAAAGTCTCCTGCCCCTATTTTATCTGCTGCCATGCCTTTGCCCTAATCTTACCTGGAAAGGGGGCTTACAATTACAGATTACTTTCTCATTTTGTATCTCATCGGAGCCTCAACACAAAGCTGTAAGTTAGGTAAAACAAGCATTGGGAAAAGAAGAAATAAACATTGTTTCCAGTTCCTACTATCTTAGAAGAGTTAAGTAACTTGCACGAGGTCAGATAGCTAATATATGGGGCAGTCAAGATTCAAACTCAGATCTTTCTGATTTGAAGTCCCAATACCTTTCATTTTCTTCTGTTCTCCTGCCCATACCACCCCCAACATCCTTCTCTTCCCACGCCATTTCCATCGTGAGCTACATCCCCAAGGTTCAGGCCTCCACCTTGTACCCTGTGCCCATCTGTCCGGGATCTCTCCCCAGAAAGAGCCCCATCCCTACCTGGCCGGAGCCGGAGCGCAATCCTCTGGGGGCTGACTTGAGTAATCTGGGAGCTGTCTCCAGAGCCCTTGTCGCTGAGGGGCCTGGCCTCTAAGATGCGGGCCTCACTGACGGGGAACTCGATGGACTCCAACGCACAGTTATCCTTCAGCAGATTCTCTTTCAGGTTACAGCGGGGCGAGCCCAGAGGGAGGGCCTGTAAGACAAGAGCCCAAGGTGAGGCCCTGTGGTCAGAGCCATGTGGCTCTCTGCGTCCTGCAGGCTTTGCCAACTCCCAACAGCCTAGAGTTTACCCAGCACTCCGGAGCTAAACCAGCATAAATGAACTGAGGTGGTCTCTCCTAAGATAGCCCATTGTACAGAAGGGGGAAACTGAGGTACCGGAAATGCTGGGCGAGCGCCTGTTCATGGATTGGTAGCTAGGAAGAGGGCCAGTACAGTAGGATGCCTGTTAGACCAGCAGTTTTCAAACAGAAATGCAACCCGCACGTGAGTCCCAGAAATCAATGTAGAGGATCTCAACCATCAATGTATTAAATAAAGTACAGAGCACAGGAGTAGACTAGCAGAGACTCTTCAGCACTGCCTCTTACTATCTGGCTCCGAGGGCAAGTCACGGAAGCTCTCCATGCCTCGATTCCTCAGCTGTCATGTGAAGATAATAATAGCCCCCCCACACAGGGATGTTATGCAGGACTAAATAAGACAATGCACATGAAACACAGAGTATAGTGCCTGCCTGAGGATAAGTGCTCAATAAAAGGTAGCTATTGTTATGAGATGCTCTATAAATAGTTCCTGGATAAGTCGGTTATAAATAAACTCCACAAGCTGGGGCAAATCCCATGATGCCAGGCACTGACCAGAGCCTCCCCTATCACTTTAAGCTTCCTCCCTTACCCTGGACACAGGGCATTGAGCGCCCTTCCAAAAACCCTGGCGTATATCCCACGGCCCTCGGAAGCTCTGTGTGTGTCTACACTGGAGTACTGAGTGGGGGGCATGCTGCACTGGAAAGAAATCAGGAAACAGGCTCAATCCTAGGTCTACCACTAATGAGCACATGACCCCAGATAAGTCATTTCACGCCTTTGAGCCTCAGTTTCCTCACCTGTAGGACGAGGGGGTCAGGTGACATGGTGTTTTCAGTTCCTTCCTGCCCTGATGTCCAGCACATTTAGCCAGCACTGTGTGGGCACAGATCCAGGAGGGCTCCTTGCCAGGTTGGGAGAACTGGCCGGAAAGCCGGAAAGCCCTTCCCTGGACCTATTTCACAATATTTAGGCCTTCAGGCCCTCAATCCTCACCCCCATCCCTACCCACTCCCTCTCACAACCATTTCCAGAAGTCAGCTGAACAGCCTGCACCAATATCCCAGAAAAACTGGTGTTAACATTTACTGAGAACTCACCGCATATCCCGCACAGCGACACGCACTTTATGTGGACACAGCTCTGGTTACAGTTCCCTTGTGCTGGAACTGTTGTTATTTTATAAGTGAAAAACCTGAGGCCCGGAGGCTTCACAAATGAGGAACCCGATCTTGCAGGAAAGACATCTAAGGCTTGGAGAAGTTAAGTAACTTGCCCAAAGTTACAGAGCTAAGAATGGCAGAAGAGAGGTCTAACTAGATTATCTGACTGTAATTATCCTCTTAAAGTGATAGTTTGTATTAAATTCTGTATAGTGAGGAACAAGGCAGAGAAACAGGAGTGTGGAAGTGACAGTCCTGGGAAGAGTCACACCTGAGAATGCCCAGGTAGGGAACAGAATGCAGGATGGGGATGTGGCTGGTGTGGGAAGCATAGATAATGTTCTGCCTCCTTAGCCCCTGCAGGTGACTAGTAGCCATATTGCCAAGGGAGGGATGTGGCCACAAGGAACCATCCATACTCAAAAAATCAGGACTCTGTAGCCTAAAACTCCTCCTGATGCTTGAAGTCTCTCTCCCTCTCATGCCCAGCCCTTGCCTGATAGACTGAAAGTCTTCCCCATGTGGAGGGAAACATGAAACCAATAGTGCTATAGACTGAATGTCTGTATCCCCCCCAGAACTCACATGTTAAACCCTAACCCCCAAGGTATTAGGAGGTTGGGCCTTGAGAGGTGATTAGGTCTTGAGGTGGAGCCCTCATGATGGGAGTAGTGCCCTTAAAAAAAGGCCCCATGGGGCACGTGGGTGGCTCTGTCAGTTAAGCATCTGACTTCGGCTCAGGTCCTGACCTCACGGTTCATGAGTTTGAGCCCGGTGTCGGGCTCTGTGCTGACAGCTCAGAGCCTAGAGCCTGCTTCAGATTATGTGTCTCCCTCTCTCTGTGCCCCACACACACTCTCTCTCTCTCCAAAAATAAATAAAACATTAAAAAAAAATTTTTTTTAAGAAAAAGGGTCCCAGAGAGCTCCCTGGCCCCTTCTGCCATGTCATAGCAAAAAGACAGCCACTATGACACAAAATTTGCTGGTACCTCGATCTTGGACTTCTCAGCCTCCAGAATTATGGGAAATAAATGTTTGTTCTCAAGCCATGCAGCCTGTGGTATTTTAAGTTTATTTATTTATTTTGAGAGAGAAAGAAAGAGTTAGCATGGGGGGGGGAGGAGCAGAGAGAGAGAAAGAGAGAGAGAGAACCCTGATGCAGGGCTCGATCTCACAAACCGTGAGATCATGACCTGAGCCAAAACCAAGGGACGCTTAACCGACTGAGCCACCCAGGCCCCCCTATGGTATTTTTGTTATAGCTGCCTGAATAGACTAAGAGAAATGGAATGAGGACCATCCTGGCCTAGGCAAAAAGTGGAAAAAGCTTCTGGAAGTTGGCAGCTTCCTTCTTTCCCTCTCAGCTTCATGAGTATGAGGTGATTAAATGACATCAGCAGTGGGAAACAGTGCAAAGGACTTAACCTTCTTGGCCCAAAAGATTCCAACGGGGACATCACAGATCCTCCAAATCTCTGGGATAGATGAAAATGTCCTCTCCGCTCCCAGCCCTGGCCAAGGACAGATGGCGGAGTGAACTTATGGGCACTTGGAGTTTTTGTGCCCAATCTTCTCTGGCTGCCCCTGCACATCTCTCCCAACCCCTCTCCCCCAGGGAACATCCTCCTGCTCACAGTGCTCCCTACCTTATCTCCGAGCCCAGCTACCCGCAAAGCCCCAGGGAGAAAACCTTCCAAAAAAGGCAATGACTGGAGAGACCAAGATGCATGGAGGAGCTGACCCTTTCCAGTACTAAGACATTTGCCAAAGGAGAGAGCAAAGGGGAGACCAGGGAACTGAAGGAGAGCAGCAAGGCCTTCGTGGGTCTTTAAGCTGCACCCTTGAAGGCGGGGTTTCTTGACTGCCCGTTTCCCAATATGACAGTGCTTATTACGAGAAGGTTTGAAGTACTAAGCCCTGCTGATAGTCCTTATGGTTTGTTATGAATTTCCTTAGAAATAGAAACACTGACAAACAAAAACTGTCTCCCTCCCTCCTTCTGCGGTCACTGACATCAGAGGTCAGGAACATAACAGGCGGGCCCTTCAGCCACGCTCTCCCAGAGAGCCTCCTGTCCCGGGAGGATACCAAGGTGGTGACCTCAACACACTTGGGCAACATTCCCTTTCTTAATAACGCAGATTAGGAAGGTAGAAGGAATGTCTCTAGGTTACTCAGAGAAAAAAACTGAAAGGAGGGAGGACGAAGGTTAAAGTTCCAGTTCCTGGTGAAACCGGATGTGACACAAAAAGGGCAGAAATAACCAAGACCCAGGGGAAGATCCTGAGCACAGGGGTGGGAGGTTCCAGCCCACATGCTGTGTGAGCTGAATCCCCTCCCTCTCCTGGGAGACTGATGCATGCTATTAGTCCTATTCTTCATTCATCCTGATTTGGAAACTGGGAAAGTACAGCATGAATAACTCTCATTATCCTACCTCTCTCACAGGCTTGGTCAGGGGATAAAATAAGACTGTGAGCACGAAATGCTTTCAAAATATGAGAAATCTCAATAGAAGTCAAATATACTCAAATTCTTTTGATATGATATAAACCAATAAATGCAAATAGAAGGTGACTGTTTGGGGGGCACCTGGGCGGCTCAGTTGGCTAGGCATCCAACCCTTGGCTTTGGCTCAGATCATGATCTCACAGTTTCATGAGTTCAAGCCCCACATCAGGCTCTGCGTTGGCAGAGCGGAGCTTGCTTGGGATTTTCTTGCTCCCTACCCCTCCCCTACGCACAATGTCTCTCTCACTCTCTTTCTCTCTCTCAAATAAAGTTAAAAAAAAAAAAAAGAGGGTGACTCTTTTCTACCAAATGCCTCCAACCCAAATAAATTAACATTGTTTTCTTGATTGACATCCAGTGAGGACAAGAAATCGCTTGACCATACAGTGACAAAAGTGTGGAAGGGACAGAAAGAAGGAGAGGAAAAGAAAAGCACTTTAGTTTATGGTTATTGGTATCCATACCCCATTGTTTATGGGAAGGGGAACACTTTCAATATTATACCTTTATTTTTACAATAACACATTTAGCAAAACTCTCAAGATGAACATTTACCCTCCATATTAAAAGAAAAATAGAAACAAAAAGCAGCAGAGAAGTGAGAACAAAATTATAATGCAACTGAAAAAGAATCCAATAGTAGCCTCAAACCTTTCCCCGATAGATGCAGAGAAGAAAATAAATCACCTCTACTGGAGTCTTCTACTTAGCTAAACCCAAACCCATTCCTCTTCTTTCATCCTCGGTTGTCAGGCTGAGTGTCAGCTGGTCCACCTTCTGATGCAAACTCAGAACTACAGAAGAATTTCTAGTACCTCCCCTCTACTTAGAGTTGCCAAATATAGCAAATATTTGGGACATACTTACATTAAAAATTATTTGTTATTTAATTCTAATTTTACTGGGTGTCTTGAATTTTAGCTGGCTGCCTTAACTCCACCTCCACCGACCATGACCCCAGTGATCAGCCCCTTTGATCAGGAGTATTTGCCAAACTTGCTACTATTAAGAACCCATGCTGGTGCAAAAGGTCCAGGATCCATCCGGGGAACCTTTATATTTAAAAAGCACCCCAGGTGGTTCTTACAACGAGGCAAGTTTGGAAGGTTCTAGATTCCAACATGGCGCCACGGAGGCCGAGACCATGAGTTGAATCTCTGGGGGAGCTTGGCCTCTTTGTTACATTCACATCCCAGAGACAGTACACCGCCCCCACCCGTATCAGTATCCAATCCTCCAGGAACACACCCTCTGCAGATGGACCCAAAACTGCACTCATCCACTTTGGCTATGTTTTCCTATTACCCGGCCAAACACTTGCGATACACACCCAGAGCTGCTGTCCTCTAGGACCAAGGGAAAGCTGAGCCCAACCAGTTGTTTTTCCAGGCACTGCCAACCCTGCCTGCAATGGCTAAGGTAAGGGAGGCAGAGGCAGAGGGCCCTCTAGGGTCAATTATTCAACAAGTCACATACAAAATGGCCCAGATGGTTCACTTCTGGGTTTTTAAGCCGCAGCCAAGACACTTTCAGCAGTTAAACTTGGCCTGTGTAGGGGAAGCCTCGGGCAAAAAAAAAAAAAAACAACCACCACCAGCAGTCGTGTTCAGGTTACAGGCTGGGATTCCCACCCCCCACTCCTCCCTGGCTGACACATGCTTTTGGCACTCATGCTGTGAACATGCCTCTCCACATCTCTCCTCCCTCTCCCTTCCTTTTCTCAGAGATAGTTGTAGTCATTCTCTAACCCCTTGGCCTCCCCCACTTTCCTGTTTATATTCCATTCTCCCAGAGAATATCTTATTGGACCTTCTACTTCTACTCATTAGTTTTCTTTGGTCCTTGATACACTCATTTCCTCTCTGACTCACCCCATCCCCCCACCACCTGCCTGTTCTAGGCAGGTCCACCTTCTTTACTTTGATCTGCCACTCACCTTCCTAAAACGCTCCCCCCATCCTCCCCTGGTCTGCCCCAGGAGGCAAAATTCACCACGGTCATCCATAAATATTCTGCACTTGCATTTCCAAAATCTGGTCACATGACCTACGGGCTTTGTCCGGTTCGGCCTCAACATACCTCAGCTACAGGGCATGTCCTTATGCAGAGCAAAAGGGGTGATGACACTCCAAGAATATGTTTTCTTTTTCCCCAGATGCCTCTTGGCCACAGTTGCCTGCATTTTCTCTCACTTTGGGTTGAAAAGGAGGGAAAGGGGATGGGAGCATCTTTTGAGCGACACTAGGGCTTCTCCCCTGGCTACCCATCTGCTCCAGCCAGCTTCAGGCCATCCAATCCAAGAAGGAGGCATCCGCCCCATCCAGCTCTCCCTTCTTCTGGGATGCAGTTGCAGAATTCCAACCTCCTTACAAGAGCGGGTGAGTGATATTATGATGGCAACCAAGGGAAGGAGGATATGGCAAAGGACAAGGGAGGAGGCCCCATCACACTGGAGCAGCCAGCTCAGCCCAGAGGGGTGGAGAACCTATGGGGGTGGGGGGAGGGGGGATGGATTCACCCGCCCCCTCCCCACCTCTCCCTCCCAGCCCCAGGGAATGTTTCGTTTGCTAAATGAAGTCAATGTGGCCCAGATGTTGGGCAGCTGCCTCTGGAAGCAGTTCCTGTGCTGAACTGTACAGAGGCAAAGTAGTGTGTTGGGCTGGCCCCCACAGCTCTGGCAGTCCTCCTGTCTAAGGATAAACACAGCCTCCCAGCTCCCACTCTCTCTCCCCACACCCCCACCAGCCTGCCAGGGAGGTTGCCTTTTTAGGAAACTCAGCACATCAGGAAGAGAAGCAAAGGGAGGAGGAGGCTGGGTTAGAGCAGTCAGAAAACTGCAGAGGGCAGAGAGGTGCTGTGGTGACAGAGAGGGCGCCTCAGGTAGTGGGGAAGCAGCCAGGCCAGGAGTTCAGGTAAACACCTGCGGGGGGCCAGGCCAATGACTCAGTCTCGGTCTGTAATCACTGGAATCCCTCCAGCCACACTCACCCCCCAGCTCTCACCAGCTCCAAATTCCCGTCCCAGCCACAAACATAGCCATTCCCTCAGACACACTCATTCCCTAGGGCCCCAGACACAACAAACCCTCTGCCTAGACACAGCTAACCCTTTCCTGTCACCCTTGTATCCTCACCAAATGGGCCCAGCGCCTTCCCTCATTGACACCTAAGCGAGGGAAGGAAGGAGGAAAATAAGAGAGAGAGGAGCAGGTAAAGCTTCGCGGGGTCCAGACATCACAGAGGAAAAGGGAAGAGAAAAGATCTTCTGACTGAACGTCCCCCACCGCTGTCACGTTAAGTGTAAGATTCTTCTTTTACCGGTCTTTTAAAAACTCTAGGATGTTTTTATGCCAGCATCCCCTCTATACCAATAACCCTCTGCTGCCTCTCTTTTTGATACCCTGCTTTCCTGGGGTGCTCCACCCCAACAAAAAAGCAATCAAAGTGTGGCAAAGGGAGACAATGGCTACAGTGACGCCAGGAGCCTGACCACATTGGCTCGTGCTGGGGGCCACACCGCAGAGTCTGGACGGCGTTCCCGGCAACAACCCCATGACAGCTCACGTTGACATCTACCAATTTAAGGCTTCCTTCTAGTTCTGCTCAGAAGGGACACGGGGCTTGTGTATTTAGCAGGGAGGAGATAACCCTATGGGTCCATTCCTGCACAAAAGCAGCGAAGCCTGGGTTAAGAAGGAAGGTCAGATGTCCTCTCCTTACCTCATCTGAGCACCAGGCACACGCAGGACTCACAGCTAGACACTCCTGGCAGGAGTGGATGCCTCGTGTGGTACAGATGTTGGACACTGCAAAGGAGACAAAGGCGTTAGCAACAGACTTGGCCTGACAGGGTAACTGGCCTGTCCCATCCTTCCCAACTTCCCCAAATGCTCAGATGTATAGCTCTCAGATGCACACAGCAGGTCTGACCATACCATAGACATTCACCAAACACAGGCTGTTTGGTAAGGAGGAAAGAGAAAGAGAAAGGTCAGGAGAAACTCATCGCCACCCTCACTGATGAGGCCCCAGTGATGACAAGCTTTGGAGCAAGATGGACCCACAGTGTCAGATCGCAACAGATGGAAAGGCTTTCATTAACAACTGGTTTGACATCCACATTGTGCACAGGAAAATCTGAGGCCCAGAGCAATGCAGTGTGCCCTCTCTCCAATTATTCGTGTGACGGATTCACAGCCACTACGTGGGGATCCCAGGCCCTGGGGCACTAACATTAACACACACCCTAAATATGGTGGGGGGCAGTGGTGGGGGTCACTGCCAGGCAGTGTTCCACTGGCCTTCCAGGACAAAGCAAATCTTCTGAAGCCCTCTCAAGACTCCCAATACATATATCAAGGTGTCAGGGTGTAGAATGGTCCAGGGAGAATGCCAGAAATGTCAGAAAAGGCTGAGTGAGATAAGCTGGAAGAGCAGGAATTGGAGTTGGAAGGCCTGTATTTGAATTATTTTTAATTTTTAAGTTTTCATATTCAGGGGCACCTGGGTGGCTCAGTCGGCTGAGCATCTGACTTCAGCTCAGGTCGTGATCTCCCACTCCGTGGGTTCGAGCCCTGTATCAGGCTCTGTGCTGACAGCTCAGAGCCTGGAGCCTGCTTTGGATTCTGTGTCTCCCTCTCTCTCCACCCCTCCCGCGCTTGTGCTCTGTCTCTCTCACTCTCCTTCAAAATAAATAAATAAATAAACAAACAAACAAACATATAAAAAAAGTTTTTATGTATTTATCTTGAAAGAGAGAGAGGGACAGACAGCAGGGGAGGGGCAAAGAGAAAGGGAGAGAGAGAATCCCAAGCAGGGAGAGCCCGATGTCAGAGCTGTCAGAGCAGAGCCCGATGTGGGGCTTGAACCCATGAACCACGAGATCATGACCTGAGCCGAAATCAAGAGTCGGACACTTAACCGACTGAGCAACCCAGGCGCCCCTGTGTTTGAATTCTGAACGCTCCTTTCACTAGCTGTACCAGGACTAACTGAGCTGCTCAGTTAACCTTTATGAAATGGTAACACCCACCTCACAGGATTTGTGCCAAGAATTTAGGGAGGTGAAGGAGAAGTACTCGGCACGTGACAAAATGCCATTTGAATGTGAACAGTTTTCACATTGTCATGGGACAGAGAAAAGCCTGGGGTGTGGGGCGGGAGGGGGAAGAGCAGAGACCACCACAGAGACCGAAATAATCCAGAGAAGCCTAGGCAGGAAGCAAACCCCAGGCATTGGCTTGGGCGGAAGCTCTCATCCTCCCTGCTTCCCCTAGTTCAGCCTTTCTGGGCTCAGCCAGGTAAACCTCCTCCCTTCCGCAGTGGTCCCCAGGAAGGCTTTTTCCAATGTAAGGAACATACTGAGGAAGATACATTCCTCTCCATGACCCAGGTCCTTCATCCAATTTCCTAAAGTAGTCCCTTTGCTCCCAGCTGGTAAGACCAGCAAATCTATTTTTAGGGAAATCAGACTGATCAAAAAAAGATTGTTTTCCCAGTGCCCCCAAAACTTCCTATCAAGCTGAATGTCTCAAGTCTATTTTATTATAACATGTCTGAACTCCCTTCCAACACCTAGACAAAACATACCCAGAAAATGTGTGTATACACACACACACACACACACACAGACACACACACACACACACAGAATATTGTCAAGAAAAATTATCCATTGTTATCTGTTGTATCCAGTGCTGACAGGTAGACCCACCAAACTTAGGGATTATCTGATTTTCTAGGAGTGCATACCTTTGTCTGACTTCTATTGATTAGGACATTTTAGAACTCTATAAAAGTAGAGGTTAACTTGTAGAAAACCAGTAACAATAGAAATGATTCTTGGGGTGCCCGGGTAGCTCAGTCGGTTAAGTGTCTGACTCTCGATTTCAGCTCAGGTCATGATCTCATGGTTTGTGAGTTCAAGCCCCACACGGGGCACTGCGCTGACAGCATGGAGTCTGCTTGGGATTCTGTCTCCTTCTCTTTCTGCCCCTCCCCTGCTTGCTCTCTGTATCTTTCCCAAAATAAATAAAAATAAACAAACAAAAAGAAATGATTCTTGATAATAACAGTGCACATGATTCTTATCCAACAGCAATGTAAATGATTTCTGTCTGGTTTTATTGCCTTTCGCCAATTTCGAAAATACTAGGTAATTGATTTCAGCGTTCCTTTCAACTACCAACTATAAATCTCCCTTCCCTGAATTTTCTAAAGATTGTTTTAAACTATTTTTAATTAATCTCTCTACCCAACATGGGGTTTGAACTTACAACCCTGAGATCAAGAGTCGCATGTCCTATGCCCTGAGCCAGCCAGGCGCCCCTCCCTTCCCTGAATTTTCTTTTGAATTAACCTGACTCGCTCATTAATTAAGCTGAATAAAATCTTTGACACATGTTCGTGTTACACTTGTATGGTAACGTACTTTTACCTCTTTAAAAAATTACGTTTTGGGGCGCCTGGGTGGCGCAGTCGTTAAGCGTCCGACTTCAGCCAGGTCACGATCTCACGGTCTGTGAGTTCGAGCCCCGCGTCAGGCTCTGGGCTGATGGCTCGGAGCCTGGAGCCTGTTTCCGATTCTGTGTCTCCCTCTCTCTCTGCCCCTCCCCCGTTCATGCTCTGTCTCTCTCTGTCTCAAAAATAAAATAAACGTTAAAAAAAAATTAAAAAAAAAATCACGTTTTACCGATATCCATCTCAGGGCCTCACCAGGGGGCGGAGGGAGTTAACAGAAGAGGGCAGCGTACAATCAGTAGACTGCGGTCCTCGTTGAGTCACCACTGCTAACGTGGCCTTGGGAGAGTATGCATCTCCTCTTACCCTGTTTCTTCACTCATAACTCCTAACGTTACAATTGTTCATCTATCTATCTTAACAACACTGCCACCCAATAGATTTTAATAAACCTCTTGAGGCTTGCCCCGTCCAGCCCCATCCAGTCCTGTCCAGCCCCGTCCAGCCCCGTCCAGCCCCGATCCTTGCTCACAGGAGATGCTCCATAGATATACAGTGGAGCAAATTGAAAGGCACTGGCCTGGATCAGTTATATTTTGTGTTTTTAAGCAACCGAGCTCATGTCTCCAAATTATGCATTGAGTTCCATTATAAAACATGCAAATGCATTGAAACAGTGCCTGTGACAATTTAAACTTCCACTGTTCTCCTAAAAACACCAGCATCACATGTGGAATCCTGGAAGCCCCAGACTTCCTCAGAGCTCGAGTCTAACTTTCAAAGGCTTTTCCCAAATCCACAGTTCCCCAAGTGGGGTGCCGCTACCAGCCCATGAGGAACCTCTGGGCCCCAGGCTCTGACTTGACTGACTCTCACTGAGCGAGCGCGAGGACCGTGTCGTGGGAATCACAGCAGTGGCTCCCGGCCTGGCCCTGAGCTACCAAGGCCACCTCTGAGTTGGGGCAGCCCTCAACCACGCATTGTCTATAATGGAAGGAAGGTAGCCAGGAGCTGCTGGCCTCAGAAGACCTCACAGTTCAGAATCCACGAGGCAACCAGGAGGCCTCCCCTTGCGAGGACTGCCTGGCCATGTCTCAGCTCACGGTGGCTCTTTCCCTGGCCAGATGTGAGCACACACACCCCGCCCCCCCCCCCCACCTTTACTGCCTTACTGGAAGCATGGCTCAAAAGGTTTTCAGTCTCTGTCTCCCTTCTCAAAGTTTCCATGGGAATCAGCATCGAGGGGGGGTAACTCCAGACATAAATGCCATCGATTTTCACTGGGGTTGGGGGGAAGAGGCAGGGGGAGACCTCGGGAAGAGTGAGACTAGAGAAGAGGACCATGGGAGGTGTGGGCACCTCCAATTATTTTTGAAAACTCTCCCCAGGCTATCCATTTTTCCACCCATTCACTCTCAAATTAGCATGTATTTGCCTAGGAGCCCTCGACTCAACTCGTAGCCACAATAGAAAGCCTTGCCAGACGGGAAATAAATAACAGCAGGCCCCCTCCCAGTGAATGGGCAGCCCAAGACCCCAGAGGATGAGACAAGCCGCTGGGATCTGTTCTTTAGGAAGTCATGCCCGGGGAGTCATGAGAGCCTGTTCCCCTTTCCTCTCTTAGTGAATCATAGGTTGATTTCATGAGAACCAGTGATTCCCCCCACAATACCCCCCACCAAGACCTACCACCAAAGGCAGGTTCCCTGGATCGCAGTGGCTAAAAGTGACTGACTCATCAGAAGTCTCTGCGCCTGGGCCACGCTGATTCAATGAGCTTCAGCTCTGAGACCACCCCTCCCTCCTGAACATGTGGAAGGAGTTTGGGCCTCTGTTTCCAGCCATTCATAAGGCCTGTGTTCTTGCTCAGCCTCAAGGGCCCAGACTCAGCCCTGCCAGAGAAGTGGCAATCTTCATCGGAACTTTGTCGCTGAAAACAATCAGCAACCCCACCACCCATTTCCTCTGATGGTTTAGCCAGAGCAAGCAAACAGGGCCCTGGTCCTCACAGGGTGGCTGTAAGGATTAAATGAAACAAGTCCCTGTCAAACTCTGAGCACAAAGGGCTGGCACACAGGAAGCACTCCCTAAAGGCTGCTGCTGCTGCTACAGTGGCTGTCGTTTTTGTCCTTGCTGTTTTCATCCTGAGTCCCAAGCTGTCTGAGGCAGGTGAATGTTTTACTTTCTTCTTACTTTTTCCCTGAAGCCACTCTTCTACACGACACTAGACACACTGCTGAGCATGCCCTGAACAGGGGGGTGGTGGGAGCACAGAGCCAGAAAGCATCAGACTACAGTAAAATGATCAGTTGTCAGATCTAACTTCTAAATGGAGTCAGGAATATTA